GTGCTAAAATGTTACCTTCATAAGACTCCANAATTAGTAAGACAAGGTCCTAAGATGGTGCCTTTTTAAAACGGTAAAACGTAGCCTTCATTGCTTCATAAGTCGTAAGAAAAGGGGCTAAAACTTTGCCTTCATAAAACTCAAAAATACAGTTCTTCATTTCTTCATAATTAGTAAGACAAGGTCCTAAGATGGTGCCTTTTTAAAACGGTAAAACGTAGCCTTCATTGCTTCTTAAGTCGTAAGAAAAGGGGCTAAAACTTTGCCTTCATAAAACTCCAAAACGTAGAGTTCATTGCTTCATAAGTCTTGCCTTTTTAAAACAGTAAAATTTAGCCCTCATTCCTTCATAAGTTATAAAAGAAGGTGCACAAGCTTTACCTTCACAAAACTAAAAAACATGCCTTCATTCCTTCATAAGTTTTTAGAGAAAGTGCTAAAACGAAGACTATTAATTTTTTAAACACCAAAACCTAGCATTCATTTCTTCATCATTGTTAGTACAAAGTGCTATAACTTTGCCTTCATAAAACTCCAAAGCATAGCATTCATTCCTTCATAAATAGTAAGAGAAAGTGCTGAAACTTTGATTTTATAAAACTCCAAAACTTAGCCTTCATAAGTAGTAAGAGAACCTGCTGAAAAACGTTGCCTTCATAACAAAAAAGTGCAAGTGTCAAACCACAGTTTTTATTGGTTTGTAAGTATTATGAGCAAGCGGCAAAACGTATCCTCTAATACATAAGTTATAATGTCTAGAGACAGAGTTAGTGCTACATCGTAACCTGCTTTACTTCTTAAGTAGTGAGAGCACAAAACTTTGCCTTCACAAAAAGCGTAAGAGTACTAAAATTTAGTCCTTATTGTTTCAATAGCGTTGCATTTATAAAGACGAAGAGCAAATGCCAACACGCAGTTTTCAAAACACTTCATAAGAAGTAAGTCCATGTGCCAAAATGTCGTTTTCGTAGAGAAGGTGAGCAATTGCCGGGATGTAGATGAAAAAGGTTCAGCAAGTGCCAAAGTACAGCCTTTATTGAAAGGTATTAATTGTAAGAGCAAAACGTTTTCATCACTCTTTGTGTAGTAAAGAAGAAAATGCCAAAGCGCAGCATATAGAAATTTATAGGTACTGAAATCAAATATCAGAACGAAAAAATGATTGAGATTGAAAATGACAATGATTGTTACAGTTGCTGATGACATTATATAATGTTTTGATGACTTGATATTATGTTACAACTCCTGAATAAACACCTTTAGAGGTAGTAATGTACGTGTAAACAAACCGAAAATATTTTATTACGATAAATTGAATGCGCAAATGTATCTCAGCTGGAACGAATGGCCAGGGTGTAAGTATGCTTGTTCGTCAAGAGTGCTCAGCAATAAAGGGTTGACTGAGGGGGGATGCAAAACCGAACAAATTACCGCCACAGTTGTGGTGCAGTGTTTTCATAAAAGTGTTCAAATATCGCCGAGCTAGTGACTTCATACATTTGCATATTTAACGAATCATCAAATGACTGACGGCAAAACCAAACACAAATATTTCAAAGCAAATATCCCTGGCAGTGGGGGCCGTTGAGGCGGCGTTGTTGCATTATTTAGAACTTGGGGACACATTGGATTTATTTTAACGTCCCCGACCTTTGAGACCACCTACCAACAATTTTATTTACCATTAATTGAAATTTAGTATTGTTTTTTTAAATTGGCATTTTCATAAATAATAATCCTTGACTTATTTGTAGTTTATAATTGCAATAATTGGAATTAGTAATTCGTGATGGTTTATAGGATTTTTTAATTTACATTTTTGTCTAAACAAACAGTATAATTACGATCGAAGGGACCTAAATATTTATTTATATTATTTTTTTATGAACATACTTACCCGACGTGACCCGAAGCCACCCGACGCAAATCCAATGTTCAATTTTCCGTAAAGGCGGCTCCGGACTTGCGGTATTCGCCGAATGCCGATTGCCGCCGAATATTTGTCTTGGCATTCGCGAAATAGCGTGCTAACGCACACACCATGCGGGATAACCTCCTAGTTGTTGCGAAAGAGGGAATACGTATTTTCCAAATGCCTTGGGCGTCCTCAACTTATACAAATCGTGATGGACATTGTCAGTTGTCATTACTGCAGCTGCGGTTACTATTTTGTGCAGTGGCTACAAACTAATTGAAAAACTATAATTATATTTTTAATTATTGCTTTATTTATAAAACAATTTATGATTTTTTAAGAGAAGCTCTCTAAATTATTGTTTCTCTTTCGTAAACGTAGAGAAATTCGAAAACTGTTGCATTGGGCCAATCCATTCCAAACAATAAAAAACTATTGTAATTGAGTAATTTGAAACATCTGTACTGTTAGCAATCGTTTATTAATGAAAAATAAATAGCATTAAATAGAAGTATCCAGTTACTGTTGATAACAATTATAAACGTACGTACAGTTACAGTTGATTCCCGAATGTGTGGATGGTTTGAGTGCGGTTACTCCACGAATATTCGTGTCCTTTGAAGCGGACAAGAAAACCGACAAAACGCCGAGCACGGCGAGCACCGGATATTGTTCGGCGAATAGCCAAGCGTCCACTAGTGGGGATTCTGGAGCCGCCTTGTAATAAATTGTTAGTTAAATTCATTATATCAAGAAATGGTATTCCGGTGTTTTGATCAATTTTCTACCAAAACATTAAAATTAAATTTTTTAATAAAAGCTAACAAATTTTTGATCTCGCTTAATTTGATTTAAATTAAAGTAAGTATATTGTAATTAATATAACGACAATAATACATATAGTTTGAAATAAAAATATGAGTGTCCGGTTCTTTTGTCTTCGACTGTACTGTTGCTACCCGAAAAAAATCTGGACAGTGGGGATCGCAGAGCGTAGAGAAGGGTAGCGTTGCATGGCCTGGGGCCGATGTGCACGGGGGTAATACAATCTTATGGAAAATTCGACTTTGGATTTGCATCGGGTGGCTTCGGGTCACATCGGGTATGTTCCCCACTTTACGATTGTATTACATACAGACACACAACGTGTATCACATTAATCAGTATCACGCCTCTTTTGTCCTTAATGCACTCTTTTGAGCCAAATTTTGTAATAAATTGTTAGCTAAATTTAATTGTTTTAAATAAAGTTATTCTGGAGTTTCGATAAATTCTCTGCCTAACGATCATAATTAGATAATTTGTATAAAAACTCATGAATTTTTGATCTCGTGTAATTTGGTTTACATTAAAATAAGCATGTTGTAATTAATGTAACGACAAAATTACATGTACATAGTTTGAAATAAATTTCAAAACATAGGTGTCCGTTTCTAACGTTACTCGACAAAAAAGGTGTAATTTCGTGAACAAAACCATGTAATACATCGTTAGATAAATTTTATGAGCAAAATCGTGTAATAAATTTTAGTTAAATTTTATGAGCAAATCCATGTAATAAATTGTTAGTTAAATTCATTTTATCAATAAATGGTCTACCAAATCATTAAAATTAATTTCGTTAAATAACAACTAATGAATTAACTGATGAACTATTATGATGCATACTGGGTGACTGTAGGTGGCGTGCGCATGACATTGCATAGATGTTCACACCCTGCCAAAACGAGACAATCGTCGGGTAGCGTCGCGTTGCGTTGCGTCGGGTGTGTTCCCCGCTTAAGCAAATTTTCCTTTCATACAATGTTAATGTGACCAAATGTATTGAGCTGTAAAATAACTGAAATTTCTTTTTTAAAATCGCAAATAATTTTTATAGACTTTTAAAATTAATTTTATTTATTTATTTTTGTTATTAGTACTACTAGTATTAACTTATATTAATCAGGAATTTCTCCAATGACTTTTACAAATACTCTCAAAGGTAAAAAAGCGGACATTCGTGTTTTGTTGTTTATTTCAAAATATATGTATTTTTATCGTTGTATTAATTACAACATATATATTATTTTATTTTAAACCAAATTAAACGTAATCAGAAATTCATCGCAATTTTCGTTAATCAAAATTATTTAATTATGATGGTTTGAAAGAAAGTCTGATGAGGACATGACTCCATGGGATTTGAAAACATGAATAACTAATTAACCAAACTTTGTTAAAAATAAATCTAGTATAAGGATATATATGATCGTAAAGGATTAGTGTTAGCGTTTTGGTTAGGTGCAGGTTAGTTTACGTACGATTGGGCTTACAAGTTGGATTTATGGACGATTTCGGTTAGATATGGTTAAGGTCGATTTAGGACAGTTTAGGTTAGGTTAGATGTGGGTTAGGTTCAATTTCGGTTGGGTAGGTTCAGATTCGTTTAGGTTATGTCTTGTTAGGGTAAGGTTAAGTTTCGTTAGAAGAGTGTTGATTTAGGTTTGTGAAGTAAAGTTTTGGAGGTTGGAGTTATGGTTACTGTTTATGTTAGGTGACATATCTATGATTTGATATTTTTACGTGAAATAGAGAAAATTTACCAGTGCGAAGAATTTTTATAAGCACCAAAAATTATAATATCACGGTAAAAAAGCACAAACATGCAGTAATTGTTATACTGCTACACACTACTCGCTTGCTCAGATTTATGTCATTTCTTGGTTCGATGAATTTTCTCTATCCGAGGCCCGTTTCGTTTCAAATGGAAAAGATTTTAAACTATTTTGCAGAAAACGAAATTGCGTTGCAAATGAATTTAAAGTAGATTGGGTTAGATTAAAGTAGATTATTGTTTTCCAAATAAGCAATTTATAGTTAAAACTCAGAGTAAACGAGAATAGGTACGTTTTCTCTAAAAAAACATTATTAAAAAATCGATAATTCGATTTTTTGAACTGCCTATGCCCATATACAAGAAAAAAGGATTAAAGTGTGATCACAGTTTACCTCCCCACCCGTTTATCTCCCGGCATCTGAACTGAATTTAAATTATGTTTTCTCGGCAAATGGTGGAAAATGCCATCTGATTAAACAGTACCGGAATTCTTTAATCGTCTGCCATAAACCGGGAGAGTTTCGAGTTGAACGCTTTATCAATATGTCGATTGGAAAATTATTGTTGTGCGCTCTCTTGGCCGTCTCATCGGCGGAAGCCACGGAACCAACGGAGACGGACACGGAAACGGTCGCACATGAAAATCCCCAGAAAAGCACGGGCATTTGGGGCTGGATCAAGGGAATATTCTTCTTTGTGGGCAACATAGCGAACAAAGTAAAGACTTTTATCACGTCCATATTGCAATACGTGACGGGGAAAAAAATCGACTTAGCCGTGATGTTTTTCGCCAGCAGATTGCAACAGTTTTTTATTGACAGGAATATGGACTACATTGATCTCCCAGTGGTGAACACATCCTTCCAAAAGGTGGTCAAAGCGGAGATCAGAGCGGGCGACGGCAAGTTCGGCAGGTTGGGCTCGATCGCACCCAGGGGCCCGTCCAACGTCGAATTCGGCATGTTGAGCCTCACCACTAAAATCCCGATGAAATTGAACAACATAAGCGTCTATTACAACTACTTCTATGTCAGTGGGCTCGGCATTTCCTCGAACGGCAGCTTCTCCATCTCCATAGAGTCCCACGAGATCGATATAACAATCAGGCTCTCCGCCGGTATTCGATGTGTGATCAATTTGGAAAAAGTCGAGTTAGTCAACATCAAAGGAATCCAAGTCCACTTCAAAGGGTTGTGCGACAGCTGCGGGAAAGTCATCTCCTTCGTCTCCACCCGCCTGGCCAACTATATGGAACCCATCATAAAAGCGAAGGTACAAAAGGCTTTGGACATGATTGGCGAGTTCTTCAATCGGAATTTTTTTGTCTGTTCCAAATTAAAAAATTCTTAGAAAACATTTTTTATATACATAAAACAAGATAACTGTTGTTTCTATTAATACAATATATTTATATCCTATCTCAACGACTTTCAATTGTGGCTAAGACAATTCTTTTTTTTTTTTTTTTTTTTTTTTTTTTTTTAGAAATCGTGAGATGCGGTCTGGTGTGACGTAGTTTTCAGAAAAACATTTTCTTTATCGTGCCAACGTTTCGATCTTTATTGAGATCATCTTCAGGGCCTGGCATTTACAAACACTGTTTACATATAACAATTACATTTTGGATGTGGAAAAGTGAATTTATACAATGCAAAATATATTTTTTATATATTCAATCAAAGTATTTCTACTCACTCAAAGTGTTTGTCTTCTGTGTAATTGTGCCATTCTTGCGTGTCGTGTCGAGTTGAGTGCCAGTAAGATTTTGCTATTTTGTGTTGGATTTTGAAGGGGTGGGGAAGGAAGTCGGTATAGAAAAGACATTTTTGTATGAGGCATCCGACGAGGTGGAAGGATCCGACGAAGGGAAAAAATGTGTTGGTAATGGTTCGGCCAGATTATCCTTTCAGGATTATATAGAAAGGGATAAATAGAAAAAGGAAAGCTGAATTGTCGGGAAATTAGACTATGTGAAAAATATTTGATGTGTGGAATGTAATGTGATGATATAGGTATATTATCTGTATTGAACTGATTAATGATATTGGTGTAACTGCGACTGAGTTTACATGTATCTGTTCTGTAATTGATGCTGTGTTTATCTCTGTTGATGTAAACCATTTCTAAGAAATTACGTTTATATTTTTTTTGTTCTGTGTGTAGAAATACTTTGATTGAATATATAAAAAATATATTTTGCATTGTATAAATTCAATTTTCCACATCCAAAATATAACTGTTATATGTAAATAATGTTTGTAAATCCCAGGCCCTGAAGATGATCTCAATAATGATCGAAACGTTGGCACCATAAAGAAAATGTTTTTCTGAAACCTACGTCACACCAGACCGCATCTCACGATATCGATTAACGGTCACTAATCACCACACACACATATATCTATTTTTTTGGACTGGAGAATTTTAAAACAGTTATCAGTACGAAGTAGAGGTCTATTATATAATTTTTTACAAATTCGTTTATAGAATTCCCAGATAGAATAATTTTTTGTTTTATTAGTGTAGTACATTCTTCAACAGGTATATTTGTGAATAAATTAGTAACGTCAAATTCCACTAAAACACAGTTGTTGGGTATATTGATGTGATTTCATTCTTTTATCAATTCTGAAGAAATGTTAATACCGAATGTAAGTTTGAAATTGGTGCGAATTTTAATTATTTTGTCAATTGTAATTGCACGTTTATGGCATGGAAAATTATAAAAGGACACTACTTTATCTTATAGGTTTGTTTTCCTTGTGAATTTTGACCGTACCGTATAACATTGGGGGTTTCGGGTTCATTGGTATTTATTTTTTAATTGCATATTGGTCATCTGAAAATAAAAAGTCACTACTTTTTATGACTATTTGAACTATAGGTTTTAATTTTAAGGTGGGATCTTTATTTATTTCTTTATACTCGTTATTATTTAGAAATTCTTCAACTTTAGAAACAAAAAAATGTTGATGTTCAATGATAACTATACTATTTCCTTTATCGGCTTTTAATATAACGTTGTTGTTACTTTTCAACTTTTTATCAATCGACCTATTGTACGTGGGATATTTCATTTTTTGACGTTTAGATTTACCAAGTTTTGTTTAGTTACTTCAGCACACTTATATTTTATATTTGTATTTATGTTACAACACTCTACCGATGAACCAAGGGATAGTAGTTTTTTTTAATCCAATTCTGTTTTTGGGATAAATTTGAAGCCTTTGTTTAATAAATCGTTTTCTTCTTTATTTAGTACCATATTTGTTAAGTTTATAACCCTTGGGTAAAATTTAATTGGAGTTTTTTTGGTCTTTATGAGTATTTTTATTTAAATACGTACATAAATAATATTAAAAGTCCGAATAATCAAATTAATTAATTTAATTGTTATTAATTATATCATAATTTACTTATCTATCATTAAGGTATTTTTCTAATTTAATTTTTATCTTTTATCTTTAATCACTAATTTATAATTAACTTCTTACAGTATTTATTAATATAATATTTACTTGTGTTATAATTCCCGCTTGTCGCACGTTCAAAATTGAGCGGCATTAAAATCCAGATTCTCATTGGAACGTCGCGCTGTCGGGTTCACTTTTGCAATTCAAGTCGAGAGACGTGGTTGTAGAACTCCTTCAACTGATGATGAGCGTAAAGCTCGAAATCCGGATCGTTGGAAAACAACTTACTTTGAGTTGGCATTATCTTTTTAAAAAGGATTATGTATTTGTGTCTAAAGCTCATTAAAAACCTTTCTACTCGATGCTTCTCCAGCAGTAGAGAACATGATGAGGGACGGCTAGAGTCTAGGCTATTCTCACGAAGCCTACCGATGACTGTTTTACATTTTGAAGTTGACTACCCATCGAGGATACAGTTAAGCCGGGAACATACTTACCCGATGCAACGCTATGCGACGCAACACCTACCCCCCCCCGTTGCTACCCGACCCATAACGTTTTGGTAGGGTGTGCACATCTATTCGACATCAAGCGCTCGCCACATAAAGTCACACCGCGAGTATCACAATCGCAATGCCTCTTCGTTCTTAATGCACTATTTTGAGCAAATCCTTGAAATAAATTGTCAGTTAAATGTTATGAGCACTACCATGTAATAAATTGTTTGTTAAACTTAATTGTTTTAAATAAAATTATTCCGGTGTTTTAATAAATTTTCTTCCTAACCATCATAATTAAATAAATTTTACAAAAACTCATGAATGTTGTTCTCATTTAATGTGGTTTACATTAAAATAAGAATGTTGTATAACGACAAAATTACATATACATAGTTTAAAATAAACTAAAAACGATATGAGTGTCCTGTTCTGACGCTACTCGAGGAAAACGGTGTAATTTTATGAGCAAAATCATGAAATAAATTGTTAGTTAAATTTTATAAGCAAAACCGTGTAATAAATTGTTAGTTACATTCACTATATCAAAAAATGGTATTCCGGTGTTTCAATTTTTTATCAAACCATTAAAGTTAAGTTTTTTAAACAAAAACTAATGAATTTTTGATCTCGGTTAATTTGGTTTATATTAAAATAAGTATGTTGTAATTAATATAACGAAAATAATACAAATAGTTTGAAATTTGAAAGAATGAGTGTCCGGTTCTTTTGTTTTAGACTGCACTCGACGCTACCCGACTAAAATCTGGGGATCGCGTATCGCAGGGTCGAGTAGCATTGCGTGGCTTCGGCCAGATGTGCACGGGGGTAATACAATCTTATGGAAAAATGGACTTTGCATTTGCGTCGCGTAGCGTCGCATAGCGTTGCATCGGGTGTGTCCCCGATTTAAATTACGGTTCTGTAAGAGCAATAAAACGGTCGACCCTAGTCGTCTTACATTGCGGTTGACCACTCGCGACTTCCGGTGGCCCTAAAGCGCTGTAGACCATCGTGGATGGTAAAGCGTGGCACACCCAGCATAGCCATTGTAACGAAAGCTAGGTCCGTCATTGGCCAAAGCAACTGCCCGGGCGAGAACTTCTCGATGTAAAACATGTTTTTAAGAAAACATTAAAATTATTAAATTCACTAATTTCCGCTTGACCAATTAATATATTACAATTAAATTTATCTCAACTAAAAACCTTAATTAATTGTAATTAAAATTATTTTCATAACTCAAATTTGTTGTTTCATCAAAGAAAATAATTTAAAAAACCAATTAACTCTTTCGGCGTGTTGGCTCTGGGAAGGATGAAATTGACCTGATTTTCTTTATTTTTTATCTACAGAGTGCAAAAGGATTAGTAACACTATAAAGGTAAACACGAAGTTATTAATGTTGTGTATACGATTTAAGTCATCTATTAATTTTATACTTTACAATGATGTTATTTAGTAGATTAAATTAAAACTATCAAACGCTTTTGTTGTTAATGACTGTTGCAAAATGTGACTATGCTTTTGATCACGTTTTACAGGTTGAGACTTAAGGCAAAGTAGAAAGCATGTTCAGCGAGGCCATCAAATATTTCCCTTGCTCTGACAATTAAAATGTAAAGTCCCGAATTCGTCGTATTGGTCTCGACATTATTAAAACTTCCGCGTGACAGGAAGGCAAAATGTGTGAAATCTTATACTTCTTCGAATAACGCAGCGGTTTCAAATCATTTTTCAGTACCTAACAACATTATATAAAATTAATTCACTACTTTCGTGGTCCGCTTGTTAATACATGACAATTAATTAAGGTTTTTAGTTGAGATGAAAAAAAGTTAATGACACGAGAGGGATTCGAACCCACGACCTTCCGCTAGATACGCCGCTGCTCTACCACTTGAGCTATCGTGACCTCGATCCACTCGGACATCAACTTCCTATTTAAACCCCACCTATGTGCTTTCCCTCCTTTTGCCATTTTTATACATTAAATGATGGCCAATTGCGATATTTGTAGGAATAGAGGTGCAGATTTGATCAGTGATTGTTTTAATATTATATTANTTTTCCGACGCCAGGACGTGATATCTTTCAAAATCGATAAAAAGCGAAATTACTCTGAAATGGTTGAGAATCGGACCATGGACAATATGAACTTTTTTGTTTATTTTAGGGTGAAGAATCTACTGGAGAAGTTTGTAGCACGAGTAGCAATTCACCCTGTATATATCAAACTGTTGTTTTGGCGTAGTGTTAGTTTTCTCAATGTTGGGTTTTAGTCTTTTAAACATTTCCTTTACAATAATTTTAAGATTAGTCGAAGAAATGAGATGGTAAGATAATAAATGTTATTTTACTATATGAGGATCCTACTGCTAAGGTTGCTCATATTAGAAAATCATCAGGGCCAAGACCTATCGCAAAGAAAATAGTTATTTCAATTCACTAATTTCGTGGTTTAATCAATTAATATCTTACAATTAATTACGGTTTTTAGTTGAGATAAAAAAGTCAATGGCACGAGAGGGATTCGAACCCACGACCTTCGGCTAGATACGCCGCTGCTCTACCACTTGAGCTAGCTCGATCCACTCGGACATTAACTTCCTATTTCAACCCCACCCTATGTGCTTTCCCTCCTTTTGCCATTTTTATACACTATATAAAATATTATATTATATAAAATGTGCATTACTCCAAATTAGTAGTTGTAAATTTGAGTTAACATTAGAATAAATTTGTTTTTTACGACTGTGGTGCTACTTGACATGAGTTTATAACTCATTATATCACTTCAGGCTTTTGATTGGTAGTTCTTCAGTAATTTTTACTACAGAGACCTATGAGTAAAAACCTTCTCATAATTACCTGGCAAATAGTTATATGTACTATGATTTCGTCTTCAGTTCCGTATCGTCTATATAGGCTAACCTCTGTCTCATTGGGTCCTAGGTTTTTCAGCTTTATTTTATGTTAAGGTGTTAGACCAGATTTTCTTTACGAATACTGTTTCTATCATATGTTTTGTTCCAGGTATGGGTATTTCATTTGATTTTTTAAGCAATTTCTTGCAGTTTTTAACTTCACTTGCCTTCTATAAATATATTTCTCCCACTGCACTCACGCAGACCCATACCGCCTATTATCTTACCTTGGGAAAAGGCAGGCTTTGAGAGATTAAAGTGGTTTACTATGATCGGGGATAGTAATTTTCTTACTTTCTATACCTAGGCCTTTAAACACTTTGCACAAAACTCAATTTCCAAGTATTCCTAAAGAAATAATCCTCGATTTTTTCCCTTAATACCAGCTACGATTTGAATTTCTATTCGTCCGTTACCTAATAATGTTGTCGATTCCTAGCAGCCTTTTCTTCGATTACGGAACCATAATTAGATTTTTCCCCCTGGACAAGATCAATATTGGCACATTTCTAAATTCTTTTCAATTCTAAGTTAACCTAAGGTTTTTTTTAAAGTATAAAGGTAATCTATAACTCTAGAATAGATTATCATATACAATGATTCTTTTTCTTCTTATTTCAGGCAGATTAGCAAGTTATGTTTTTGTTTGTTTTGTTTGTCGGGTGTTTCAGACCGTGAAAGTTAGATCCCGCTGGCAGTGGAGAGACAGGTGTCATCTGCTATTGTCTTCGAATTCATCGCCTAATAAACTCACATAGGATAGCCGTTTGTTCCCGGATCTGAATTCTGCCCATCGATTGAAGGATGAGGTCCAAATCCCATTCATTACAAGTGAAACAAAAGGTTTGGACCATTTTAGGTTTGGCTGGCGGTTGAAAAGTATTTATCGTTTGGTGCAATTTCAACTAGAGTCGAAACCCACTTTTAGTTGTAACGTATCAATAAAAAAAAACAATTAATTAAGGTTTTTAGTTGAGATAAAAAGTCAATGGCACGAGCTGGATTCGAACCCACGATCTTCGGCTAGATACGCCGCTGCTCTACCACTTGAGCTATCGTGACTTCTATCCACTCGGACACTAACTTCCCATCTCAACCCCACCTTTTGAATTTTCCCTCCTTTTTGCCATTTTTCAATATTGTAATATATTAATTGGTCAAGCGGACCACGAAATTAGTGAATTTAATAAACAAAACTTTTTTTTCGTCTGTTAAGGGAGTACCTAAGTTATATAATGCTTACTTCATTTGTTTCTTTAATTTAGTACATATAAGGTCCAGGACAAAAAGATAGCGTACCCTTGTATTTTGTCTATACATTACAATTGTGATTGATTATTAAGTTTTTTAAACATAAATGATTTTTTAATATAAATATGAATTGAACCTTGTTATTTAGTTGACAGTAAAAGTTTTATCCCTGGAAATACAAGTAAATATTTACTTTGAGGTGAAAAAAAGATGGCATATTGTGTACCAAGTTATGAAACTGAGGTTGTAGAAATATGTAATATGTAAACGTTTCTAATGGGTTGTGCCAGTTGTTGGACGCTCTCTGAACACTCAATAATAAAGAGAATGAAAAATCGTATAATATCTATTTTGGAAATATCAAGACAGATAGGATGGAGTAGGAAAGCAATTTCAGCCTTTTTAAATAATCCAGAAGACTACAGAATAAAAGAAAATATTCAGATAGCCCATCTGTCTTAACCGGCAGGGAAAATCCAACGATTAGGATCGGTTCAAATCCTTGATGACAGCATGGCATATTTCCAAAAGCTAAACAAACGACCAATACAAGAAAAGTAAATAGGGTCATAAATGGTGTCACGCACACAGAGGAGGGAACTCAAACGGATACCACCTCTAAATAAAGTTCATAAGGAAAGCCATAAACAGTTCGCCCATGATCATATCAACTGAAAGGAGGAGTAGAGAAAAATCTTCTTTTAGGTTATAAAAGTATTCACCACGATAGCACCGAAAGTTGGCCATATTATTTCAATGGCCGATTTAAAGAAGAAATGGTATTTTTGAAAATACAAATAGGTGGAGAAAATGTGATGCTGTGGTTGTGGCATCGGTTACTGTAAGAAAACAGAAATTAACATAACATTAACAAATAAACAGGAACCAATTAGCAAGATATACATAGACAATGCCAAGTGAATAATTTGTATTCCAGCAAGTCAATGCTCCTGACCGAAGGAAAATTGGAAAAAGCTTTTCTTTAAAAAAAATGGTTTTGAATAGCCAGCTAGGTTTCCAGATTTTAATATAATTGAAATTGTCTGGAGACATCTTGTTTGAGCTTTACGTGTTGCGGTAAGTTCCACAACATAAAAGAAATGTGCATACTTTCCAAATCGAAGGGACTTAGCCTATACTAGTATTATGTTGTCATTCGTTTTGTATTTTTTTTTAAATTTATGTTTTAATAAAAACATTCTAAAGATGTGGTCTTTTTTCCAACTTCAATGTTAATATTATTTTCTGGGAGTATTATTTTACTGGGAGATAATAACCGAGATACATTTAAAATATAACAAAAAATATTATTTATGATTTTAAAAAATTAATAAAAAAATAAAATTTAACATATTCGCAAATATTAGGGTGAGCTATCTTTTGTCCTTGATCTTAATCGTATTCCAATGAGCCAATATCTGCGCGTTTGTCGAAAATGAAAAGTAACCTTATTCCCGATTTTTAATATAAAAATTATAAAATAATAATAGAAGGATTTTTCTGACTAGAGATTGATTTATAAACAAAAATACTTTATGTATTTTGGTATGTTTTTGTACTTAATATTTTATTTATTTATTTGAAAACGTATTTTATTATTGGGTTGTCCGGAAAATAATGCAGGATTTTGGTATTAAACAAAAAAAAAGAAACTAGTTACTTTAAAGCAATGTTCTTTAATCAAAANACAAACAATATCATTTGGAA